CTCAACGCCAATACCATGCTGATATTTGTAACCAAATGTACGAAGTTGTTTGGAGTCCATTTTTTTAAAGAAAAATCTTAATACCAAATAAATACGTTCATTGTCCGGATTTATATTTAGTCAAAGTGATACAAAAGTTACATCGATTGTTAAAAAAACGTTAGTCTGCATGCATGTTTGTATGGATTTGCACAGTCAAATAAATATAAGAACCCATCAGTTATAATTCCGGCCAAAATTGTTGATCATTTGACCAGATCTTGAGTAAAATAATTTAAATTTTGCCAAATGATCGATAATTTTAACCGGAATTATAACTAATGGATTTCTATAATAACTGATATGTATACCAAAACTTTATTAATGAAGTCGTCTATTCATTAAACAAAAAAAAAATGTCCAGCTGATAACTTTAATATAGATTTGATTAGAGAAGTAATCACAAAAAAAAAAGAAATTTTAATCTCCAAACTTTATTACCGTATTTTCGCGAAATAACGGGCATGGGCGTTATTTCGAGGTTTGGCCCGAATTAAGCTTAATTTAGGCCGAAAATTGTAATTTCACCCCTGCGCGTTATTTCGCGAAAATACGGTAAATAACTTATGACCTGATAATTCATGTCAAATAGAAGAAATATCTAAAGAATAAAATATTTAAAATTATAAAAATTTGACATTATAAGATTCTTACATAGGCGATTTAAAAGTTTGATACCTTCTAACTAGCCAAATTATTACTACATGACAAAGATATTTGAATGAAAATTTATTTCAGGCATTAAATATTTGTAATGATCTAAATTACGGGGCAACATTTTTATCTTAGGCCGTTCTCAAGCATCTAAATCAATTGATTAAAAGATGATCGTGATGACGCTCAAGCATTACAATCAATGGCGATAATTATGGAATTAAATGCTTGAGCATACTCTTTTTCTATTTTTCATGATCTCCGTTATGCCGCCTAAAACGTCTAAAAAATCCAATAAAAAAAATTCTGTTCAACCGACTACCGAATCTTCAGCTTCGGTTACGTCAGTTTCCCCCTTAATGATTTTACCAATATTAACCTTTTTCTGCAACAGCAACAACTTATGAAATCATTAGCGAAAGTTGCTTTGCAGCAACAAGAAGTAAAAAAAATTTTATTAAGTTTACAGTATATGAGCGAAAAATGGAATAGCAGTATTAATCAGGGTTTGGTTAAATGTTAAAAGATGGGTTGTGTAAATTACGTTCATATAAAGGTGTCGATTATTTGTTTTAAAAGCTTCGAGCATAAAAAATGAAGTGACTATTTTTTTAGACCGGTTAGAAATTTGTTGTGAATTTTATTGTAAATTCATTGTTTATTATGTTTGATATGTTAAAATGTAAAAGTAGTGCTTGAACGACCTTTATTAAAAATTTACGTCCGATCCATTGAGTGAGGTGCTTGAGAACGATCTTAGACATCCATTTCAACAATTACTGATGATTTCATTAATATAAGCTCAACCATTCTTTAGATTTGTGTATAATTTCATTACATCTCGGCCACAAAGTCGCGTACTAGATTTCAAATTTCGAAAATTAGGCAATTGAAAGTGTTAACTATAAACTATCAAGATTGAGGCGTTGAAGTTTTATAAAACTGTTTTAATTCAAGATACTGCAACCTAATTTTATTTCGTAATAATACTAATAAGTAAATCATAATTTTGTTAAAATGACGTTGAAAATTTTCCTTGCAATCAGCTGAACAAATTAATTGTCAGTTATCAAATCACAATTACGTAAGCTAATTTTAATTACAGAAGAATTTTAGATATCGCTAATTATTTTCAATAAGGAATCACTCACTTTGAAATATTTGTCAAATATAATATTCTACAAATTGCTATAGATAATGAACAAAATATGACTTTTCGCATTTTCATTATAATATGAAAATAGGAATAATAAATATATAAAAAAATTTGTGAAACAAAAATGGGTATAGGTTTGAATTTTATGAATGCTTGTTGATCATGTTCACTAACACGCATGAAAAAAAGGCAATGCATTGCTGAAGCTGTACAGGCACAAGTACGTGCAGATAGTTTTGCTTCTATTAATTATTCGGAACATGGCATCAAGTATGAAGTTGGCGCTTTAAAGTCAAGGAGTGCATATTGTGTTGCGGGTAACTTGAAGCTTGATGTTTTAATTTAACTTAAGTATTTGAATTTAATTAACAGCTCCACTCAATGAAAACTTTATAATCCCTTAGCAACGTGTCTGCCAATACTGGTGATTTATTGGGGTGTGCGGTCAACTATGTAAATCAAAACTATGTATAGATGTATATCAAATTTTATATGTGAATTTTTTT